TAATTGGGGTTACAGATAGTATTTCCAGACCTCCCTTATTATGTTAATTCACTGACTGCTTTCATTGAAATGGATCAGATTTCTGGCAAACAAGCCCACTGTCTTCCCTAACCACAGTTTTTTTTCTCTGTTCCACAGAGTAGTAAATACTAAGCTTGAAATGAGGGGAGACAGCCTAGAGTATAAAATGGAGAGAAGCAGTTCAGAAATAAGAAAGCCAACAGAATTTAGGAGAACAGGAAATAAGCTATTAAATGAATTGAGTTTTTGTTTTTTTGCCCTGGAAATTACAGCTTTTTAATAAAGAATAACACATGGATTGTGGTTTTTAATCACAATCTAGAGCAGATAAAGTTTGGTTAATATAATTAGGTTTCTCTCTCTTTTAAAAGTCATATTAAATAAAGGAATATATAATATAGCATTTTATGTTCTTTTAGATGTTTTCTAGAGTAATCAAAAGCTTCGAATTAGAAAGTAATCCTTTATCTATAAGCAAAGGTTTACTTGAGTTTTTTTCAACTGGAGATTAATGCTACAGTGTACTATGGCCTATTGCTGGAAAGTACAAGTAAGTACCGGTATTACAGCACTGTATGTTATTTTAGGAGAAAATAGGCAAATGTTTTAAGTACAGTTTTATCAGTACTCATCATCTAAATTTTATAAAGTAGAAATTACTATAAATATTTGGAAAATTATATTTAGTATTTTAAAAATTTATCCATGAATTAGTAAAAACAAAATTGAGTTTAGTGATATGAGACATTGATTATATTGTGTGATTTTTTTTTTTCCAACTCAGAGTTAAACCTAGAATGTAGGTTAATGTACCTCTATTTATTTGTATTGGTATATTTATGAGAACATACGTACATTTTCTATTAAGTATTTTTATATGGATTCAAGGAAATAAAATGATACTGTCTTGTGCTATTTTTATGATGATGATACATTTTTCAGTGTAACAGCACAAAACATTACTATGCAAAAGATTGCTCATACTTTGGAGAGGGTATAAATTCAAAGTCACTGGCAGGCCCACAGATAGCCCATTAAATCCTCATGTTTCCCCTGTCCTGAAACCCTGCAATTCATCTGCTTCAGATTGACAGAATCAAACTATTGAATAAAATCAAAATTAAATCAAATTAATTTACTACATCACTAGAATATGAAAATCTAGTCTTATAAGCAATCTTCAAGTGTGCATCTTAAAAAAATATTCCTTTATAATATGTCTGCTTTTGCTTTGTGAACAGGGTTATTTTTTAAATGTGCTCTGTATAAGTGTGAAGTTATAGTCTTATTGAAATTCAATGCTAGCAGCATCTCAAGTATAAAAAGACTTCTCAAAAAATTCCCATTATTTTAGCTTTGGTTTATCTAAAGTGCTTTGTGTTCACAGGAAGAACAGGCAGCAAAATTGAAAGCTGAGAAGATCAGAGTTGCACTAGAGAAAATTAAAGAGGCACAAGTGAAAAAGGTGATATTTGGGCTTTTTCCTGGTTTGAGATTTTTATCAGTTTTTATAGATTTATAAAGAATTGCCTTGTTTGTATAATGTACTTCTAAGATATAGGAAGCTATAGAGGGGTATTTTTTCTAATACGTTTTTCACATGTATTTTTTGTGGATAAAATACAGTATAAAAGAATTAATTTTCTGGTTTTAAATTCTCCTGAAAGAGTAAAACACAATAGTCTTATTATTATAATCTTACTTGGTATTTTAATTTTAAAAGTGCTTTAAATTTGTTTAGTTAGTTTATTTAAAACCTAATTTTAGAATATATTTCTTACATAATAAAGTCATTATTTATGTTTTAATTTATATTTACCTAAGGACATTACTAAGAACATTACTCGGTATTGGAAGAAACCTCTAGAATGCCTGTGTTTTGGTCTGTATTAATTTCCTTTTTACCTGTTATAGCTGGTGATTAGAGTTCACATGTCTGACGACAGTTCTAAAACAATGATGGTGGACGAGAGGCAGACAGTGAGACAAGTGCTGGATAACCTGATGGACAAATCCCACTGCGGTTTTAGTTTAGACTGGTCGCTGGTGGAGACTGTCTCTGAGTTACAAATGGGTTAGTAATATCATTGTTATAATTACTTTTCCATTTCTATGTAATTTCAGTAGTTTCATGTTGATAAAAGCAACTTGAGACATCTTATATATATATGTATTTTGAGATTTCTTTGAATACAGTATTAGTTCCAGTTCACTTTAGATTTTCCTATGGCCAGAACAAAGGGTGTTGTTACTGTTTTTAAGGTGACAAAATACTTTTTCCCTTCAAATAAGAACTGTGTATATTGACACGTTTACTGAAGACCATTATTCACATTTGTACTGAAGTCTTTAAACCAACATTTGACGTAAACATAAAGCACATAAAGGGGAAACATAAAGCACATCTTGTTTTTTGCTAGATGTACGAAGTCTTAGTTTCCTATGTTTTGTAGTGTGGTATGGTGTTTGTTAATTTTGAAAATTCCTAATTTTTTATACCACCTTTGACTTGTTTAAAAACTTTTGGTTTTGTAATGTTAGCTGTAATTACAGAAACCTTGCAGTAATTATTTTGTTAGACTTCACTGAATCAGAAACCAGTTTCAACTTGCTATTTTGTTTTAAAAATGTAGTTGCATTATAGTACCTTATCATATCTTTAAATATTTCACAGCGGTCTCCAGAGAAATAAAAATTTAATTATTAACCCTTTTCTCTCAGAATGCACATACACATCCCCCAAAACCAAGCCATAAGTTAGTTTGTTAACATATATAAACATGTATTCTAATAATACTTACCTGTAACTATTCGTGGAGAATTAGAAAGGTTTGCATTCAGAGGTAGCATCATCATATGCAGAAAATGTTTGGATGCTAGTTTTTGGAATATTTCCATAGCCATAGGTTAAAAGATTCATATATGTAATATTTCTCTATTGCCTTTATATAATTGACTATAATGTCTTAAATAACTATCATTTAATCACAGTGATTCAAATATAATATGTAGTCATTCAGTACTTGTTGAATGAATAAAAGAAAACAAGGAACTACTAAGAGCCCAAAACAAGATGATGGAAACAAACTATGACAAATTTGAATCACTCAATTAAACAGCAAAGATTATTATAAAGGATGAATATACAAAATGCAACTGTTTGCTGTTTACAAAAAAAACCTTTTACCTAAAGACACAAGTTGAAAGTAAAAGGAATGCTGAAAGACACTAACCAAAAGAAAGATAGTATTAACTATGTTAATATCAGACAAAACAGACTTTAAGCAAAATGCATTACTAGAGAAAAAGAGAACCACACATCTTCACTAGGAAAATATAATCATTCTACATTTTATCTAATAGTAGCATTAAAATGTATAAAGCAAAAGTTGACAGAACTACCAAGAGAAATTCACAAGTCAGCCTTCATAGTAGAATCTTTTCACCTAAGAAGCTTTATAGTGATCAGTATAATCAAGCAAGCAAAAATGAATATAGAAATATTTAGAACACTGATAACAGAAAAGTATACATTCTTTTCAGGCAGAAATGGAATATTTCCAAAAAGTGATTCCAGTATAAGGCAATCAGCAGCTCATGAGAAATTTCAAAAAACTAATCTTTAGAATATGTTCATTGAACATATGTTCAGTATATAGGACATGTTCTTTGATTCCTAATTTAGAAATCAGAAGATACATCTTTGTTTAAAATTAAACAGAACTCATGGATCAAAGAAATCATCTTGGAAATCTTTTAAATGACAAGAAATGAATACTGTTGGGAGTACTTAATACCAGAATTTATGAAATGCAGCTAACATGTTGGGGTTAAGGGTGAGATGGGAAAAAGCTGAAGGTTGAAGAAGATGTAGAAGTCAAAAGACCTAGATTCTAGTCTAATTCTTCCATGTAGCAGCTGTGTGACCTTGCTGAAGTCACTTAACACCACTAGGACGTATTTCCTTATTTGAAAATAGAAGGAAACCAGGTAATCTCTAAGGACTAAGGACTATACTGTCAGTTAAAAGTCTTTGGTTCTGCTGTGAATTACTTCACGAGGTTTCATGTCTTTTATGCAATCCTGATCAATACTAACGGAATACTGATATTTTATTTGGGGACAGAGAGAATCTTTGAAGACCATGAAAACTTGGTGGAAAATCTTCTTAACTGGACAAGAGATAGTCAAAACAAGCTTATATTTATGGAGCGAATAGAAAAATATGCACTTTTCAAAAACCCACAGGTGAGACTAGCTTACAGAGGTCAGGATTTTTAAATGTTTATGTTACATAATTTTATATGTTTATATTATATATTTCTGTCACTACTGAGTTAATAGAGTTAAAAGACTGGCAGCCACCCAGTTGGAGCATTGTGGCTGCAGAATCTCAGCATTCACTAATGCTGAGACGGAAAGTCTGCTGGGACCCAGGTGTCAGGCCTCAGAGGGGTTCCCAGTCCCACAGAGCCAGGTGGGGTGAGCCCTTGGGGAAGCAGGATCACTTCCAGGGGGGTTACCAGGTTTCTGTTCCTAATTCAGAGAGAGCTGTTTTGAACCCAGCAATTTATTTGGTGAGTTTCTCATCTATCAAAGAAAAGTACTTGCATATTTAAGTTTCTCTACTTTTGTCATTTATCCAAATGACTCTATGATTTCTTTTTTGAGTTATGTTTCTGAAAATCCCAATAACCTTGATTATAAAATGGTTCCACATTCTAATGTATGTTACCTTGATTTATTTGGTATCTTTGCTTATTCCAAAATAATGTTTGAGTTAATCCTTTCTATACCCAAATATTTATAAAAACCAGTAGATGAGCCAGAACAACCCCACTCTAAAAAGCAGTAATGAGGAAAAATACTAGTAGTTAAAGGTATTGAATAGGTATCCTTCAGTTGGCTGAATAGTGACACATCTTTCCTGGATATATTTTAGTGAAGAATACACATTTGGAAATACCAACAGATCTTTTTATGGATGATTGTGAAGAGATTTTTCCGAAGGCAATTAATTAGAATTCAGATTTTAGTTGAGTCAAGCAAATGAGATCACAGTAGTCTCAGAGAATTTGGGACTTCTTCTTTAAAAGCCAGAACATAGTAAATTCTCTGCATCTGGATCAGTTAAGCTCAGCATATTTTAAGGAAATTTGCCTTACTTGTTGTACTTAATAATTTGTAAACCTTTCAGGTCCTGTAAGTGTAGCTTTCATTAGATTCACCAAAACATTTGCTAGCTGTCACATGCAGTATCACCTCAGGATTTTGGGGAGGGCGGTTTATGGAATAATTAAGGATAAATGGATAAACTAAGGAGGAGGCCAGTGGTTAAGCATCTCTGTGAAGATGCCACGAACAAGTTGCTTTTCGAAGGGACTTCCCTGCACTCTACACAGGCAGAAGTTGACACAGAGTTGCTGTGTCTCTAGAAGAAATCATATATGCACTTGTGCCAAGGGAATAGTGCAGTGGGTTTATCCTTTGACTTTGATTTATTCATTTTTCCAGAATTATCTTCTGGGGAAAAAAGAAACAGCTGAGATGGCAGATAGAAACAAAGAAGTGCTGTTGGAGGTATGACTCTTACCTTCCCTCTGTCCCTTTCCTGCATGTTATACTACTAAAATATTAAGCACCTTTTTTGATGTCAAGTATGTTGCTATTTTGCCAAGCTGTATACTAGTGGACTAAAAGGAGTTAGGAGCTTGTAGTAGCTGACAACTGGGAGAAAAGGCTGGCCAGTGAAGGATGTGATTGTGACGTTTCATCCGCTTACCCAGGGAGAAATTTGAATATAGTTAGCTGTTTACAAAATATTTCAAGCTTTAGCCTTAAATAACTCAAATAATTTTTAAAATCATAATGATTATTTTTAAAAAAGTATCTCCTTATTTTAAAGAGCAATAAAACAAATTTAAACATAATTGAATTTTTGCCTTTGCTGATTTTACAGAACTAAGTCAAAGAAGTTAGTATGTTTGAAAACCTAAATAAACTTACTTAGCAACAAGGCTCTTAGGAAGATGAAGATCAGCCCTCAGCTTTCATAGTGATGCTAGCTGCAATTAAGAAAACTGCTCTTTATAATTCCTGATTTTTCTGAATTTTGGGGAGAGAGAAGTTAATTCGTTTCATGTGTTCATGTTTAGTGAGGGGGTTCTACTTTCCTTTAACCAAATACATGATTGATTTTTTAATTAAATTTTTATCTAAGTATAGGCATTAGAATCCAAAATTTTGAGTTTGTTTACATTCCTTTCAACCCAGTATTAAATATTTTAAAAATAAATGTCCTTTTGTTTTAAAATCATATAGATAGTTTCTAAATTGTAACAGTGTAATCATTCATTTAGCATGTTGCTTTCTTTTAAAATATATTCCTACTTAGTGTGACAGCTAATCTAAATGTTGAAGAAAAAATCTAATGCTTATGTGAGCTCTGACACTTTCATTATATTTACTGTAACTATGCTGTTTACAAATGCGTTTAAGTACTGTTATATGCAACTCAGTTCACATTTCAACTTAGTTTCTTCAAAACAATGTCAGGTCAAAGTTCACAGAGATTACCATAGTTGTTCCAAAATAAAGCCATGTTATGTTTAGAGTAGAAAGTTCTGCTTTTGTTTTTGTTTTTATGTTTGGCGGGGGGGAGGTAATTAGGTTTATTTATTCATTTTAGTGGGGGTACTAGGGATTGAACCCAGGATCTTGGGCACGCTAGGAATGCGCTCTACCATTGAGCTATACCCTTCCCTCTAGAGTGGAAAGTTCTAATTGAAGTAAAATTAGCAGCATGGTTTTTATACAAAGGCCTTTTGGTTTAATCACAATGTCATGCATTTCACAGGGGTAAATATAACTTTGTTCTGAGAACTCAAAGATCATGTCTTTCCAAATCATCTTTTTATTTTAGGAGTGTTTTTGTGGAAGTTCTGTAACTGTACCAGAAATTGAGGGAGTCCTTTGGTTGAAAGATGATGGCAAGAAGTCCTGGAAAAAGCGTTATTTTCTCTTGCGAGCATCTGGTATCTACTATGTCCCTAAAGGAAAAACAAAGGTGCGTGCGACCCTCTGCTGGTTTTGAGCTTCCTCATTATGGTGATTGATCTTAATTTGTAGTGAGCATGTGGACAAGGTGCTCCAGGCTCTGATTTGTTTCAACTCATGTAGGGCACACATACTGTTTGTTGATTGATCTCTTACAAGGAAGAGGAAACCTGAAAATGTTCGCTCTCTTATCATTAGTTGGGCCCATCTCAATTCTTCTGGCAAGTTTGAAATCAGGCTTTTTTTTTTTTTTTTTGGCCCTTTTGCCAGAGTTGTTTTTGCTTGTTACTGTTTTGGGAGAACAGCTTTCTGGGATTACAGGCGGTTCAGTCTTGCTTGGGTAATGTCTTCTGACAAGGGCCCCTGTGGTAGCTGTCACTTCTGTGCGTACTGGGGGCCCAGCCAGCACTGTTGAAGCTCTTTACAGTATCACCTCACCCAGTCTTTTCCACCGTCCTGAGAGGTACACATTGTCGCCCATATTTAACTGGTGAGGAAACCCTGACTTGAGAATTGCTGTACTTGAAATATGCACTACAGGCACTGAACTACGTATCTCTTATTCTTTCCAGAGAGCTCTGTGTATTGTCTCGTGTTTAATACAGTGTACTTACTGTATTTAAAGCTCTTAAAAACTCCACCCATTCCAAGCAAGTCATTGTTCATTATGAATGGCAAGACAGTATGAAATAGACTGCCTTTTTTGTTGCCTAATGGATTAAAGAAGAAACATTTACAGAGAATCTCACTGTCTTGTCTTCTGCAAAATAGCAATAATTTCTACTTGGTAAAGTTCGATTTTCAAGTAGAAGCTGTTACTAGTGATATTTGCATGTTCACACATTGTTGTTAATTCAGTGTTACGGGCATTTTATTTTAGGTATCTCGGGATCTCGTGTGTTTTCTCCAGCTGGATCACGTCAATGTTTATTATGGACAGGACTATCGAAACAAATACAAAGCACCTACTGACTATTGTCTGGTGCTCAAGGTAAACATGTGTCTCTTTTTGGGAATTTTAATTGATATTAGTGATAGAGCAGGTTATTGGACATCGCAGAATAGTGATCTCCATCAAGTATATTATTTTTGCTTTTTCTGTAGGTTTTTGAAGGAATGGTGAAGGATGGTAAGGAAAAGAAGCATGTGCTATCCCACAGCTGACCTTAGCTAAGTAGCCCTGATTAGATTGATGATACTAAGAAATGGATACTGGATTATAAGCTTTTAGTCATATATAAAGTGGATTAGATTATAAATTTGAGACTTTCAGTTAATCATAGGCTTATTTTAGGAAAGCTTAAATCATAGCCAGATGTGGGAAAACATAGGTATTTTGTGTGTTTTAGTTCTTTTCCTGTGCTAACTGAGCAGACCATCAGAGGGCACTGTGCCCACGTTCAAAGTGGACTGGCTCTCATCTGGTCCAGAAGTGATTCTTGTCTCTCTTTTCTGAATCATAGCCCTGGTAGTCCACACATGTGTTAGGACCCCTCTGGGCTGTTTTTAGTGATTTTCTTTCCTTTATCCAAACTCTTGTGTTTTTTACACTGATCATATCTGTACTTTTGAGAACTGACATTTTTAGTGAATTTTCAGTGATCTATTGGAACATTAGGAAAGGTAACATTGAAACATTCAGGATAATTATGGAGATGATTAAGTTTTTCCTCACTGGCCCCATTTCAGCATACCGTTGGTATCTATGTAGGTTTTATATGTTTATTTATGTCATCGTTTTATTTTGCTTTTCTCTGAGAATTGTCAGTTGGGTTTGGGGAGGTGGTGTTTGTTTAGAGTTTTGGGATAGAATTTTGAATGCTTTGATAAAATTAGGTGTATGTAATTGCAACCCTTTATTAAATAACCTTTCTTGAAGAATACCACTATATCATTTAGATTATAGCAGCAAATAATTTTCTTTAAGTCAAAATAAAGTAGCTTAATCCAGCAGTTTTCAAAATGTGGTTCCAGGGCCCCCTGGAGTCCCTGAGACCCTGTCAAGGATCTATTGATGTTGAAGTTACTCTTCTAATAATGCCAAGATATTATTGTCTGTTACACTCTCATTCTCTCACAAGTGTATAATGGAGTTTTCTGAGATGTTATCTTTGCTCCCCTGGGTAGTTGGAATCTGTATTTGTATATTCTTATATTTATAACTTTTTCTCAGCTTTAATTTCTTATAAGGTAAATAGCAATATAAGTCACAGTTATGTGGGGGTCTCATAACACAGAGACAGTAAGAGTTGGTTCTTTTAATGGCACAAGGTTGTCAATGAGAACCCAAATTCTTTCTGTCTTCCCCTGTTCCATCTTCATATCAGCTTATTCTCAGGCCAACTCACCTCTGACACGAATGGCCACTGCATGTAGACCTGGCAAAATCCAGCTGAGGAAGAGAGACTGTTTCTCCTTGTACTTGTCTTTTTGTAAGAGGAACGAAATATTTCCCAGGAGCTGCCAGCAGCCCTCCCTGTGGGTTACTGGCCTGGACTACATGCCCACTCTTACACCAATCAGTGGCAGGGACCAAAGCCACCATGTGTGCCTTCCACTAGTCAGATTCACTCTCTGGGGTGGGGGTAGACATCCCAACAAACTGAGGTGGGGGGAGGGGATACCTGTGGGGAAGGCAGCCGTCGGCATTTGTTAAAGCCAGAAGTAAGCAGGAACACTGGCTACCACTCTGATCCCTTTTGCAGCTCACAGAATTCTTAGGTTAAGAATATTTTTTGTTCCAAGGGTGTTTTGTTCGTATGTTTTTATATAATATATATAATGATTTGTATGCATCATATTTGCTTTTAGTAAAGTAGGTTAAGCTAAATTCATGTATTTATATTGTCTACCTGTTTATACCTAGAAGTATTTAGTGCATTGAAGTATCTAAAATAATAGTAAAGATAATGGCCACCATTTATTGAAGAACTCTGGGGTGGCAGGCGTGGCACTCAAAGCACGGTGCACACCAATCTCACACATCTGTTCTAGAATCCCCCTTTTCCGGGTATGGAAAATGAGATTTGGAGGTTCAGTTTGCCTGAGACTACACAACTATTCGTATTTAAGACATGTCTTTTTTTTCCTGTAAATCTGCACTGTATAAAGTATTTTAATTCTTGAGCATATGAGTTTTGACAAACAAATGACACCAAAAAATGCTTCCCCACAAGGTCTATGCAAATGTAGGTGTAATTATTTGTAGGGCCTGATCCCTTTTGTCAGCTTTGGGCTATAATGACTAAGTACTTCTGAGTACTTCTAGTGAATTGCAGGATACAGGAAATATATACGCACTTGTAGGAAGTAATAAAACATGTCATTTAGTAATCAATTTTTTTTAAAGTAATAATAAAAATAGTAATGAGGAAGAGCTTATTCATGAAATTTGACAAGATAAGAATAAATAGGATACATGTTGATATATTATCTAAAAGAGGTACACACTTGGGGTACACGTATGCATGTATAACTAAGCTTCTTACAGGAGACTTGTGTTTTTAAAATATATATACCATAGCGGTTGTTGGAATAGAGCTCAGCTTAGGCAGGTCTAAATTTTCACTCCTTAAGAAATGAGGCAAAGTAATTTATTTTAATATGTTAGGTGGGAAGGAAAAAACAGGATTAATAGCATTGATAGCCTTGCTTGATGTAGGGTTGCCCCAAACCTTCAGTTTTTAAAAAAACACTATTTCTGGAAAGCGTAAAAAAGCAAAGTGCAATAAAACAAGGTCTGCCTGTTACTCTCTTTGGCCTCTTTAAGAATCTAAATGTTGAGCTTTTAGTTTTGAGCAGAGGATGTCTCCTTCATACTCACTCTTAGCTCTCATGTGATTTTTTAAAGTGGTGGAATAATATTGTGGAAGAAAGAGGACTGAGGCTGCAGATTTAGAAGATGTCACCCGTAATAAGGCAGTAGTATGATATAATAACTAAGAACCTGGGCCCTGGCATGAGATGGCCTGGTTTTAAATCCTGGTTCTTTGACTTACTGGTGAGCAACTTTGAGTGCTGTCTAAATCCTTCGGTGCCTCAGTTCCTCCTTATATGGTGGAGATAATAATATGTAACTCAGGATTTCCTGAGGATGGAATGAGCTAATATATGTGAAATATTCAGCATATGCCTGGTATATACTAAGTGCACAATAAATGGCACTTTTAATAAAAAATAGCAATATATTAGCGGAACAGGTTACCTCCTGAGGTATTGGTGCAGAGCCTGGATGACCAAAATAAAGGCTATAGAAGACATGCCTTTATTACGTAGGGAGTTGAAAAAGAATTTTTGAGGTCTAAAATGAATTTTAAACCAGCAAGTAATCTGCAGACACTGAATCATGAAGTACTCTACAGGGTATTATTTAGGTTCCCGGGTTAGAGAGATGAGGAGAGAGCATAGAGGAAATCTTTGATTTTCTCGGATATATTGATAAAAACGCTCCCTTTGTGTACAGAATGATTAGTGCACACACACACTGTGACAGGGCCGCTGCTAATTGAACACCCATAAGTGGTAGCCCTGCTCTAGGGAAGTGAATTGGTCGAGGATGGTTTGTAAATCACCATGAAGGGCAAGGGCGGTGATAAAGGCCAAGAGCCATCCTGAACCCCTTGTTTGTTTGGATGTCTGAATCCTACCCGCAGGCAGGGCCTAAGGGCAGCAGGAGACGGGAACAGTGCTTTAAGCCCTGGTTGTCAACACTAAAGAAAGCTCGCTTCAGTCAGCTCATTTTATCTTCTGCACGAACTGTGGCCTCTTCTGTTTTGCTCACACTGTAGTCTGCCACCTACTTGAAGCATCTGGCAAATAGTTCTTGCCCAGTAAATGTTGGTTGAATGAGTAAATGAAATAAAATCCCCCTTCCTTCTTTTATAGAAAAACACATACACCTCTACTTGTCTTGCTCTTGCAAGATTGCTGTGGTGCTTTATTACAATGTGATTTAACAAGGACAAGGGGATACGTTCCAAGGGAAGGCTGTGAAGCCTATATTATCAGGGGAGAAAACTGTTAGGTATTGTTCTGCTAGCTTCTGATTGTTAAGGGTTTATTGTTTAAAATTTGACTGTAGCCGTCAATAACTTAGTTGGTTTTGGTATTAAATGTTTTATCCACAGGAGCTGAGCTCTGTGAAGCAATGAATAGAATAAATGGATGTACATTTCTCTCATTGTAGGCCTGAGGGATTGATTTTTAACAATGCAGATAACATAACTTTTATTGGTGACCATCTCTTCCTTCTGCATTGAAAATTTATTCAGATTGCTTATTTATTGATCTTGTGGGTTTTTCACAACAACAAATATGGTCAGAGAATTTTCACAGCCTCATAACTGAACATAAATTTAAACGTTTTTCCACATAAAATAAAGTCTTTTTAAAAATTTTCAACAGAAGAGAGAGGTAGTAATTAAGAATCATGACATCCAGAACCAAGTGTGACTTAGGGTCTGTCTTCCCAGGGTGGTTGTGTCCCAGTCAAGTTAAAATACCTTAAGTCTGTTCCAGCACTTGCATTTTGTAGCTGAGGTCAACTCGGTCACCTCCCATCCAAGCCTCAACTGAAAAGTACGTTGAGTTGTGACTAAATCTAATGATGCCCTTGGCCAGAGGGCAGGTGCGGCAGGTGGAGGGACCTGCAGAGTGGTGCTCAGTCCACAGCAGGGAACAGCAATAAGTGTGAGCTCCCCTTGCATCCCAGGTGCTGTGCCCAGTGCTTCATCCCCCACCCAGGTGTTCACCCCCAGAGAAGCTTGGAAGCTTTACCAGAGACTCTCTCATTTGGGGGTCTTCAGATCCCCTGATTCCAGTGGATTCAAAGTAAACATTCTCTTCTCTTTTTGTAGTCTTATAGATTAAGAATTCCTCTGACCTTGTTAACCTTGATGGACTTTGTTTCTTTGAAATGTAGATAGGTTATTTGGGAGATTCTCATGAAGTGAAGGTTTGGTTTTTTTTTTAACTCAAACATCTTGACCTAAATTTTAACACAAGTTTCTTTCTTGTTTATTTTGTATAAATACTCACAGGCCATTTTGTTTGGCCGTATGGATGTTTAAGAGGTGTAAATTATTTGGCCATTATTCCGATGACCTATGACTTGTCAGGGTATGTTTAAGTTTTGATAGAGTTTGTTTATTTCTCTTGAGTTTTCCAGGGGACTGAGTCGGATTTTACCTTTAATCTTGCAGCACCCACAGATCCAGAAGAAGTCTCAGTATATCAAATACCTTTGTTGTGATGATGTGAGGACCCTGCACCAGTGGGTCAATGGTATCCGCATTGCAAAGGTAGGTTTTCTTTTGATTTGATAATGGAACAATGGGTATTTAATGATACGGTTTTGGTTGTCATGACGGTTATTTGGTTTGTTTCATGTTCATGATTTTGCCAGTGTCTAGTTTTCGCAGGCTGAAGTTTCATGTTTGAAATGTCTTTTTCCCTTGGTGATGAAGGTAAACTTTTAATAGTTGGTATCCAAGAAATAATACTGCTGGTAAAGCTTATGTAGCACCAAAGTGAATTATTTTGGCTTTGGAGAATGCACTATATGATTCTTACATAGCAGAGTTCAGCCTAAACAAAAGAAATTTCTTGAATATTAAACTGCCTTGGGGGTCAGGGGAGGAATGAAGAGATGGAACACAGAGGATTTTTAAGGCAGTGAAAATATTCAAACTGTATGTTACTCCAATGGTAGATACATGTTGTTATACATATGTCCAAACCCATAGAGTGTTCAACACCAAGATGATGATGTGTCAGTGGAGGTTCATTGATTGTAACAAGTGTACCATTCTAGTGGGTACACTTGTTGATAATGGGAGAGGCTGTGCATGCTTAGGGGCTGTGCATGTATATGGGAAATCTCTGTACTTTCCTCTCAGTTTTGCTGTGAATCTAAAAATGCTCTCAAAAAAGAAAGTCTTAAAAAAAATCTTAAGGACATCTTAAAAATCTTAAGGACATTATGATTATACATAATGCTTGAAGGGATATTTATTCAGTTACTTTTAAATTAAGTAACAAAATAAAATTAATTGTAGGCCTAACAATCAAAGTTGCTTTAGAAATAACTGAAAAAAATCTTTATAGTGATAATGAATTAATCAGAATCAGGTATTAACTTCTTGCTGCCTTTCTAAAAATGAGGAAAAATGAGTAGATTATAATTTACTGCCTTCTGTTTAGTACGGGAAGCAACTCTACATGAACTATCAAGAAGCCTTGAAGAGGACAGAGTCGGCTTACGACTGGACTTCCTTATCCAGCTCCAGCATTAAATCAGGATCCAGTTCTTCCAGCATCCCAGGTAGTTGAAATGCCCAAAGGACTCCTCACTACCAATGTGGTAGTGTCTCTATAGAGATTAACAGTAGACTCGGTTATCTCGGCCATTTTTTTAAAACCAGAGTTTTAAAAACCAGAGCTGTGCCTAGTTTCTAAGTTATAATCCATAGGTATATGGGCTTTTATTATTTTTTATTGTTAGAGGGGATAATATCACGGTCTAGTTCACAAATGTGTTTGATGGAAAACCAGTATACAGAGTGATAAAGCCAGGAGCTTTGTAATATATTTATAAAGTTTACTTAAAACTGAGTCATACTGCTGAAAAACAGTTCTTGATGCATAATTGGGGATAGAAAGTTGCTTGGAGAAAGATACTCGGATTCGTGGTGAAACTGCCCTCCTTTCCTACGGTTTCCTGACATTTCCGTAGAGTGGAAACAACTAGAATTAGTTCAGTTGAGGAAGATGTTTAAGTCATCAAACTATAGTTTTCAGAGGAAATCAGTGATACTCAACAGGTGCTGATTTTCAGATTCCTACCTCCTTTAAACAAGTGTGCTCTGATCACATATTAAGATAAATGCTTCTTTCCTTTCAAAATGATAGATGTAAATGATACCTGTGTCATCTAAAAGCATATTTTTTTCTTTATTCTAACATCATGTTATGAAATAATTACTTTAAGAAGTATTTGATTTAAAAGTTAGATATCAGCCCTAAATAAGTAAAAACACATTTCGATGTGTGTGTACCTGGGTTAGTGTACACACATACATTTCCTAGTTCCGTCCACTGAGAGCTAGAAGCAGTGACACCCCAGTAGCAGTGAGAACGCCAGGAGCCTCCATCTCTGTTTCTCAGTGCAATTTTCCAAAACAAAGGGGCCAGGGCTCTTCGGTCAGTGGCTGATTCTAGGGCTATGGCAGAGAATATGTAAGATGAGCCTGGAGCATCATGTGCTCAGAAAATCACAGTGATGAGAGTAAGTAAAAGGAACACAGGAGCCACCCTGAGAGAGTGGCCAAAGTTGGAACAGTTTGAGCAACAAAGTAACATAGGATTATAAGCCAAATTTTAAAATAAATAGCCTTCAGTCCATGGTGATACAGTGTGATGAGATTGGCATTTCCCCCCTCTTGATCTTCCTCCCCAAATCCCATAACCTCAGGGAAAAACATCAGATAAAATTAAAAGACATACTGTGAATACCTGACCAATACTCCTAAAAAAGTCAAGGTCATCAGAAACAAGGAGAGTCTGAGAAACTGTCTCATAGGAGACATGACAGCTGACTGAAATATGGGATCCTGGGTGGGATCCTGGGTCAGAAAATGGACATTATGGAAAAACTAATGAAATCCAGACAAAATTTCGTGTTTAGTTACTGTAACATGAGTGTTGTTTCCTCAGTGGTGACACAGGTACCAGAGTGTTGTAACATGTCAACGAGATAAACTGGGTGCTAGGTGTGTAGGAACTCTGTGTGAGCTTGCAACTTTTCTGTAAATCTAAAACTGTTATAAAAGAAAATGTCTATTAAATTGGGGGGAAGAAATCTTTGTGGCATTGGATTAGGAAAGGCAGGGTAAGAAGCGTATGTCACAAGTAGGATTATAGAAAATGAAATTAAGAGAAAGACTGAGGAAAAATACCTATTTTAAAATATATATCTTTAAAAACGTATATAGTGTTTAACAGTATAAGTGCTTCCACACGTGATTTTATGAAGTGGTATGGTGCCTTTCCTACTGCAGCATCGTCTGTCTGTATACGTTGTGTTAAGTATTAGTCAGAGTTTTTAACGTGAATTGTAAAATCATATACCTTCATGCTAAAGAGAGCTCCAGGATCCACATGTTCTAGGCTCCTGTCTTACAGGCTGTGGTCCTAGATATTAAATAGGGATGAAGAAAATAGAGTAGGTTTTATCCTGTATTGCTTATATTTCTGCCCTGAGGATACTGTCTTAATTTTATTCAAAGGAGTTTGTGGCTATTATCTTTGTGGTACTTCAGTTAATTCGGCAGGACTTGCTTAATACTGCATTCTAATAATATTCACTTCTCACAGAGTAATTGGATGGGACTAGCTTTAATATTTGAGTCTCCACCAGATGCCAGGCATTGGGCAAGCTGCTTCCACAGTTATCTTGCCTGACTTGGAGTCAGTGAAATAATCTTCCCAGTCCTTTTACCCTGTGTGTCAGTCAAATTGCACTGTATCCTCAGCCATTCCCAGCTCCCCTGAAGATGTCTTCATGCCCTTCCAGGAAGCCAGGCTCCAGCACAGCTGCTGCCTTGTGGTGCCAATACCTGAATCCCTAAGAACATACTTCTCACTTGGGGATCAAATTCCAAGTGTTGTTCATTGCTGAGAAGAAGGAAGCAGTCGTCACGTTTAGACCTAAATTCATAAGTGAGGCGTCTCTGGGCTGGCCTGGAGCAGGGGTATATAAAAAGATTGATTCTCAAGGTAGTGAAGATACAACTGAAAAAAAATTCCCTCCGCTTTGATGGTTCATTTATTCTCTTATTTGCTAGGAGTTCTTACAAGCCAGGTTGTCAGAATACCAGCAATGTTATATGGACCTTCCTTTGTAATTAGCAGTCTCATGGTGTTGAGAAGAATCGAGATTCCCTGTTTATCCTAGGATGAGAGAAGTTTTGGAAAACACGGATTGTGTTTATGTGAAATGAAATGTTTGGGTAAATGCAACTTGTTGCCATTCTACGTCACATCTGGTCTTGTGTGACAAATCTGTCTAAATGTGCATATTCATACTGTCACAATACTGACTTATTTAATCTGAGTGTTTAAAATCTGTTTTAAGCAGAGTCTCAGTCCAATCACTCCAATCAGTCTGATAGTGGAGTGTCTGACACGCAGCCGGCAGGACACATCCGTTCCCAGAGCATCGTGAGCTCCATCTTCTCCGAGGCCTGGAAACGAGGCACACAGCTGGAAGAGTCCAGCAAGGTAACGCGTGGGGTCAGGCTCCGGGGGAGGGCTGTCGGTCCAGGGGTGTAGTTTGCTGCTCTTTCCTTCCTTTACTAGGAATCTTTGCTGGCCTTATTTCAGTATTCTTTCTTTGCCTTCTCCTCAGAAATGGGTATTTGTGAATTGGCTCTGATGATCTCAAAAGAACTAGCAGTTTTACCAGTGGCCCAGAATTTTAAGAAATAACAATTTCCTCCTTTCCACCCTTAATTAATTTGGATGGAGCAACAGCCTGTAGTGCCAATGCCCTTATTTTGTTCCATAGAAGCTCTAATGATTATTTATTTGTTTTTAATTTATTCAGACTCATTTTTTTAATCGTCTTTTGTGGCACTTCTCTGCACATTGATGAATTTTCTCAAGACTAAATTCCAATTAATCCCCTTAAAATTTTGGATCCCTGAGGCTTTGCATAGAAAGTTGTTCAGTGACACTGAAGGACAAGTATAATTATTGCAAGACTGTTTAGAAAAATAGAGAGGTTCTTTAGCCTGGTTGAAAGACACCGTATCAAACTGGACTTCAGGAGGGTGGAGGAGGCATTAGTAGCCCAGTGTGGGGGGTAGAACATGTTCTCTTAGAAATAAATATCTGAGAATTGGTTCTAATGACCTGAAGTCTCAAGACACTGACAGTTTGTAACTCCCTTATCAGAGGCTCAGACTCTGAAGAAATAATCCTCTCTCCCTCCGCGTGCCTGAGCAATTTGAGCGGAGCAGCGCCATCTGGTGCTGATACTGCATATATGTTGTGGAGCTGCAGGGTTCACACAATTCAGATACCTAAAGAGCCCTTTACCTTACTAAATTTTTAATAGTGGTATCCATGTGCATTTTAAATTGTAGAAAGACCAGTTGTTAGGAGGAAGGCCAAGGAAAGCAAAGGTGCGAATGGTCCGGGATGAAGCAGTGCAGTCCGTCATTGCATTAGTTTCAAAAAGAGCGCAAACCCTGCCCCACAGCAGTGATGATGTGTTTGAGTCTTGACCCACTGTGTGTTTCTTCTCCTGTTACCTCAGTCTCAGGTGCCAAATGAGAAGGCCCGCACAGCTAAGGTCTGCACCCCTGCAGCAGCCAAGACAGGGTCAAGTTAAGGTCGGGGGCTGTTCTTTGGAAACACGTTAACCTGGGTGACTCCTGTAACGAAATCCTGCAGACTAATGCTTTTATTTTGATGTGCCATTTTTAAAGGAACATGTGAGTGTCCTGATGGGCCTTAGAACTCAGCCCTGTAATGAGCCTTCTAGTCTACTAACCTCAGCATTCTTGATATTAATTAGACGTCATTTCAAATTGTTTATCTTGGATCCTCACGGTTTGTTCAAAGAGCCTAAGAGGTGTACCCAAAATTATTAAGCCAAGGGTCCTTCGTTTGCTCTTTCAAAAAGTACTTGAGCCACTTTCATGCATGAGTAGCTCCATGAAATAAATGACCAGATGTGGTGATTTGGGCAGTGCTAAGAGGTGCCCAGATGTGCTGGTCAGCTAGTTGCTGGCAAACTCTAGCTCCTGTTTCTTAATACATTTCTTTTACTCTAGCCTTCCAAAGTTTCCTCTCATTCTCTTCTGGCTTTTTCTATATGATATTTTTATGATCTTTTGCTGTAATGTTTATGAAGCATTTCTTTATGTATTTTCCAGTAAAACAAATGTAAAGAATACCCCTCTTTTACCTGCATTGCTGGACTTCTGTGCATGTTGGATGCAAGTGTCTCACACGAACACGAGTGTGTGTGTCAAGCTCATTCATTCCTGTGTGACTGTGCACGCCTGCTGAACATTCTCATACTCTCACGTGTTCGCTCACTAGCATCAAAAAGCCATCCTCATTCTTCTGGAGGCCCTCCAGCAGCACTCCTAAACCCAGTTTTGGCATCTGCTTGATGTGGATGCAGTCATGGACTGAAAGGTGAACTCCAGCCATCACATCTCCCTTTGCCAGAGTCTGGGGGGCGGTCCCTGGGCAGAGGCCCTCCCACCAAGGGCTCACACTGGCATTCCCAGCAGGGTGTGTGAAAGCCAGGGGTCAGACCCCCCGTCACCATCCAGACAGCTTTTGCAGGAGGAAGTTTTTCCCAGTTTGCTAGGCAGTCTGGCTATTTGAGAGGACTCTTGGGTAAACGAATTTTTTCTGTACCCTCATTGCCCAAGGAGTCAGGTTTTAGCCTTCCTGACCTTGTCCATCTTTATGATCACCAAGTGCTGCATCCTTTCATGCATGTATCTGATTCCTTGCTTTTTACTTTGGCAGTCAAAGCTTACCTCTATAACTTGTTTTGTTTGTTGTGTTTTCTCTCTCCCAACCTCCCTTTTATACTCCTTTTAGGCGAGAATGGAGTCTATGAATCGACCCTACACTTCACTCATGCCCCCTCTATCCCCACAGCCTAAGCTAGTGACCCCCTACACTGCCTCACAGCCCTCGCCGCCCCTACCGCCCCCCCCACCGCCCCCTCCTCCTCCCCCCCCACCGCC